CAGCAAAAAATGTTCACAATACCACCGATAAAGACAAAAAAAATGATGATTGCTTAGTTCTTGGTTTGTTGTTTCTAACAGAATCCATGATTTCATACTTTTTCAACCTTTATCAAAATAACTCTATAGTGGTCTTCATCAGAGCATGCACAGAACAAAAATATGTAACTGGCTCTCACGATTTCCCCGACAAGTGCCTGTGGAGCTCGAAATGCGCTGTTTGATAATTTGTAATGAAATTTTTGTTCTGGTTAGGTTGGGAAAATGTGAAAGTATGGAATCAAATCAAGAATAAAATGTATGAATCATAATTATATGCCTGTATGATACATTAAAATAGCATAAATATTAATTAAGAATTGATTATCTAAAGATAGGCCTACGATAATATTTACCTGGTAAATAATTGTCCTTGTTACTGTTACTTCTCTTTGTATCAAATGAATTAAATAAAAATGGGTGGCAACTATTTATTTCAAAGGGGTTTTTAATGTTGATATCTGGTACATACAACCACAGGTACAGAACAGAGGTTGAAGATGTACTGGAAATCCCCTTTTATTTGCTATACAAACACATGATTCAGATCATATTGTGTTCCTCACACAACAGAAAAACCATTGTTTTCTCTTCATTTCCAATAAATTGGATGCTAGATATTTATTATTAATGCTACATGATACAGTGTTAAGAAATTATTGACTTTCATGTTGATTTAATTTTTCTTGAAGAATGTATTATATCGATGTGTGGAACAAAAATAAACTTGAAACATGGATGCTTAATATTTTACTTCAGAATGCAAAGACTGTTAACTTTTCTATGCTTTTAATTTCTCATTCTGTTTCACTAGTTCCTTAAACACCATACTGATTTTTCCAGCTTTTTATCAACCATTCCAATCCAAATTTTATGTTAATATCTGGTTTCCTTCATATACAATATGCAACCCTTTAGCTAGAAAGGCTTCCAAAGCCTAGTTTGGAATGTTTAAATGGGAAAACACAGCATAGTCGTCATACCCGGTTGTTTCCTACAGTACTTGGGATCCGTAAATGATATCGTTGTAGGCCTAAGTAGCTACATTCATTTTGTTACCAGAATTGATGCATTTTCTAAACACTATCAGAGTTCAATGAATACAGACTGAAGTACTGTAAATAAACTTTGACAGTGCAACAATTACAAGCCACTTAAGCAAATAATACACCTAAATTTGGTACGATACTTACCTGGTGCATAATCGTTTTTCTAATGTTGTTAGGCCTACTTCTCTGGTATGCAAATTATACAATGGGCAATGCCATTTATTCCAGAGGGGTTGATAACTATTATCAACCTTACAGTATCTCCATTAATTGCTTGTTAACAATTGATTATATCAGAGATTATATGAAATACAAGTACTAGAATTTATACAAAGGTGAATGTATAAATGCAACATTTTTAACAGTTTAAATGGAATCTAATATTGATTAATTTTGTATGTAAATTTATTGGTACAATACAGGACAAATAATATTTGAAATCCACAGAGCTTTTATTTGGTCTATAAATAAATGCATAAATATTATTTTTAAAGCTTATTTTGCTATATTCTGAAAAAGATTACCCTTAGCATGATAGAGTTAAATTCGAATCCTGTATGTTAAGCCGGGCATATATTGCATCTCACGGCGGTTGTAAGACTGTTGGCCGACATGGGCTTAGCCAGTGAGCCGTCCGGCCGTCTTCGGACGGCCTAGAATTATTTAGGACGGCCACTTTACCATGTCGGCTTGCACGGCTTGGCCTAATCAGCTTGGCCTCGCTTAATCTTGCATGGTCTACCTTTAGCAAATTCACTATATTCTTCAAATCTATTGAATGTTACATTAAACTAAAGCTAAATAGTATTTATGTTTGATACAAACAACATTTATTGATTGAATGTACGTTTTCGGTGGGGATTCCCAAATATAGGTATGGCCTGCCCATCGGCTTAGTGCCACGTCCACTGGCTTCCATTTTGGATGGCCTATTTCGTTTTTCTGGCTAAATCCCTGTCGGCCGATGAATCCAAATCCGCTTCCCATGAGTGCTATTGTGAGCCAGTGGCAGACTTTATAGATGGCATTAAAAATGATCAGTTGTATTTGCGTCGTGGCATTGCATCTTCCACAGAATGATGTCGGTAGATGACTGTTGACGTAGTGAGTACCCGGCTCAGGGTTTGTTCTCACAGGAGTAATTCGCAGGTGTAACACACAGACGTAACTCACAGCAGTGGCATATCTAAAAGTCTTCAATTGATATGGAGGTGCTGATGGAGGGTATGCAAAATTGAAGTGGGGGGAAGATGCACCCCACCCTAGATATGCCACTGATTCACAGGTGTACCTCCGCACTAATTAAAGACACATTGTGATTTAGTATAAAAGATTTTATCCCCAAAGCCCTGATGAGTCAACCCCTAAGCACTCTTGGCCAAAGGAAAATTTGTTTTTTTTAATTATCACTTTACAGTACAGTACTCAAAACAAATTGAATGGTAAGCATTCTCAATTTTATATCTATGATATTGTAAATGAAAAAACAAGAACCAACTGCAAGGTGATTGATTTGACTATCATTTGTAGTGTTATGATGTATTGACATTTTGATTATAACTGCACTGCTGTAGGTACATTGTGGGTCATTAAATATATGGATTAACTTTTCAGGTGTCTTGCTGTTAGAGCATGGGTTACTAATAGAGTACTTGGCTCCTGCTAAAAGTTTTACACATAAAAGTGATTCCTCCTGTGCATGTTTAAAATGATAAGTTCATTGTAACTTTTTTCACATTATTTTAAAAAAGATTTAAGAAGAGGGAGGCAAATAGTATGATTCTTTTTTCTCATTTAGTAAAATAGTTGTGCCAAAGCAAAGATAACATAAAAATAAAATGTTATTGACAAATAGGTAAAAAAAAAATCAATTGAGGGTGTTGTTAGGCTCTTGCCCAAGGTTGTATTGTGTTTCGTATAAAATATGATGTTGGAATGTAATCTGTCAAGTATTAGAAATGATAATGCTTTGTATTCATTGGCCATGCAGCATTGAATTGAATTGAATTTATTCGATGCTCATATATAAAATATAAAATATAGAAATACAATATAGGAATTTTTTACAATAATCAAATACAACGAGCATCTGGAACACCCATTAGGC